AATTTAAACTTTATAAGCATAATCCCGAACAGCTCCGTCATCTCGCATCTCCGTCCCGACTTTATGACCTGAAAAACATGATAAATATGGGGCGTGAGTACCACTGTAATCCGTAGGAACTCATACTGAAATAAACAGTGAAAATAATTGCAATGTCATGATCCTGGCATGAACATGAACATGAAACCGATACTGAATAATCATGATCTGATACTGATGGTGACGTAATCATCACCTGCCTGCTACCTGAACATCTGCCGGCAAAATTCTAATGCCGGACACCATGTGCACACTCTAGTGGGCAGACTAGGGCCACTAGAACCCAGAATGGACCGGAGACCATTCCGAGCGGATACAGAACCGATAATACATACCTCAAACATGGTAGAGTAATTATAATTAATGTAATACCCAGTCTGAGTCCCCACCTGAACTGCTGATCTGAACATGTAAGTGCTGATATCTGTATCCTGATCAAACTGAAAAATAATATAAACAATTACTAAATACTATGCTCAGGCTGATAAAAATAATTGTTTTATTAAGTTAAGATGCACTACTGAACTTGACATGATATTTGGACTTAACGGGTATAATCAGAACTGTATAAACTTGGAACTGAACTGACATAAATTTACTGAACTGAACCGGACTTGGAATTTAACTGAAAACGGGACCTGAACATGAACCTGGACTTAAAATAATAACTTATGGTCAAAACCGGTCTAAGCTGATTGAACTGGATCTGATCCGGTTCGGTCGGACCGCCGGTATGCTCGGACCGGTCGGTTAGCGGCTGACTCGGCCAACGGACCTGCCAAGGCCGCGTGCGCGGGCGCTGCCTGGACTGGCCGCGGCACTGGCTGCTGAGCGTGAACTGGTGTGAGCATGAACGTACATGCACGCTGGTGGCCACTGGGCATGGCCTGCATGACAGACGTGCAACTGGTGCATCACACACACAACGGTGGGCATGACTGGCACGACTGGACGCTGCCTGGGACGCGTTCATGCGCTGGCGCATTGCAGGCATCGAATGGGCACTGTCGCGCTCTATATGCGCGGGCATGGACATGACTTGCGCTGCTGGGCGCTACCGTGTGTCGCAGCAGGCAACTGGGCACATGAACATGCGCACTGGGTGCGCAGTGACTGCTGGCGTGCACTGGCACGGCCAACTGATGAGGAGTTGCGGGCAGAGGCTATGCGCAACACCCGACTGGGCGTGCTTGCACACTGTCCGCTGCCATGACTGGCTGTTGGCGTGTTGCTGTCGCTATGTGCGGACAGCTCGGCCACGACCGGCCTTTGCCGGCCGTTTAGCGATTTCTCTCGACCGATCCAACATGAATCAACATAATATAACATAACATGATCCCATAAACTGAATTCACCCAAAAATCATGAACTTCGATCGATGAACTCGAATAACTTCGAGGCGTGCGCACCGTGCGCCCATGTTCAGCGTTAAGCCAAACCCTCGAGTAAACATGAACTTCCTCCGATTAACTTGACATAAATGACTATAAAATGATCTCAGCTAGCCAATTAAACTTGAGTTACTCGATCAAATCTGATTACAACGAAAGATAACATGGTAAGATGTAAGACGGCCCATGGGCGTGAGCTATGTGCGCTGCCGACTTCCTTAGGCCAAAACATGGGCAAAACCTCAACTTCTCTCGACCTATATCTTTAAGCTGGATATATAACGACATAAAATGATCAAATAACCATACTTTACTCGGTGTTATTCGAACATAATCGAACATCACCCGGTGAGGATTAACATGATCTAATTCGAACACATTCAAGCATCCTCATGAATTTATTGACATGAACTACTTGATTCAGTACTAACATGACTTAATTAACATGAAAGGAGGTTGGAACGGAAGTTACCTCCGCAAGTAATTGGAGAATTTCACAAGTTGTGCGTGATTTCCTCGTCTCCGAATGCGTGCGGAAGCATCGGCCGTGTGCGTGTGCTTTGCTTGTCTTAATCTTGCTTATGCGTTTGGTAAATGGTTAGCTTATGAATAAGCTAAGTTTATCCCCAACTACTGATTTATATTGCTGACCAAACCGTGGTGAAATTTGGAGAAAAAAAAGTCAAGGTCGTGGCCAATGACTCCTCGGCAAGTGTCGCACGGCTAGGGCATGAGGTGTACATTTACATGCTTAGTCCCCCTAGGAACGTTAGCATGAGGCCACATAGCTGAATGGAATGATGAATATCACGTGAACTAACATATTGCTCAGTCATTACTCTTGTGCATGCATAATCGCACGACTTAGAAGCTAAGCGTGCAATAAGGGTGTGGTAATGGTATGCCTATAGATCTAAGCATGATTAACATCAAACTAATCCTCATTAATGTTAATTAATCATCATTAACATTAAGCTAATCATGATTATCTTTAAGATAATCATGATTAATTAGCTTAACATGGAATAAGTTAATTAAGCAAGAGTTAATGACAATTGCTTAAGTATAAGCTAATCGTGGGCGGTGTACCAAGTGTGAACGCGTCGCTGTATAGGAATTACGACGTTCATATGTGGTAACCTTAACCGAATGTACTCACTTTCGATTAGAACCTGACCTCGGAACTTAACTCGAATATTGCTTTGACTTGGACGATTAATCTGAATATTGACATTTGGAATAATTCATCAACTTAACTTATTAATTGATTAAATGAATCTGAAACTCATTCGGTTACCGAGATACTTAAACCGAATACAATATCGACTAATAGTCGGACCTTAACTGAAACTGAATAATTTTGACTTGTACATGGGTATTTATTAACAAAGGCTAGCTAAAAGTTAAAACCTAGTATTTTCCTTTATTAATAAAACTCGGGGTGTTACAATCCACCCTCCTTAAAATATTTTCGTCCTCGAAAATATTGAAACTTGGATGTACAAGCTTAACACTGAGCTTATACTAAACAAATGACATAATTTGCAGTTTCAGTATTTGAATACTGAACATTAGACTTGATCTTAA